ACGCCTTATGATATGTTTACTTGTTATATTACAAGAGGTAACACAGTAAAACTATTTTTAATATTAATTTGTTTTGACGCATTTAAGGAACAAATGATATGATTAGACCAGTTGTAACATGAAGATGACCATAGTTCGACGCGTTTATGCGAATAAAATGAAAACATATATACAATCACTTGTTGTAACCTGCATGAGATATCCGATCACTTTGAGCGTATTAAACCGAAAAATTGATCTTAACGTTTGAGAAATTATAATAGGTTTTTTTTGGCAGACTTACTTTGATTTAACTGCAAGCACATTGCTATTTGTTCAACATCCTCTTCTTAAACTAGGCCTTCGATTCTGGATTCACAAAAATGCACTAATCGATAGATATGACTACAGATAATCGTTCATTATTAATAATTTCTTTATTGTACTATATCAAAAAAACAAAGATATTTAGAGCAACAAATAAGAACTAGATGTAGATTTATATAACGTTTTGGATATTTTGTGTAACAAGATATATTTGAATACGGGCATGATGTCTAGTGAAACGTATTGCATATTTTACTGAATAAAAAAACAAATATCAAGTATTACTTTTCGACTATAAGTCATCTACATAAACTTTCTATACTCTTACTAATTTTTGCTTTTATGGTAGTATATGAATCAGCCATGCATAAGTAAATATCGCGACGCGATCAAATAGTCATAAACACAATAAGAAGTTCAAGTTACTTGAAACTGCTTTCTATCGCCATCATATTAACATATATTACATATTCGTTATGGCTCTATTTATATAAAAATAATTATGCTTTTTGCATGATTTTTTTTCAAGCTATAATACATGCTATAAGGTATTTGCGACAAAGAAAGAAAAAAAAATAGAATATAAAAGGTATGAAAGAAATTTGCTTCTGACACAAAATACAAATATTCCTTCGATTTCAACATCAAAATAGCAGCAGCTAGTAGCACTGCATCGGCCAACTGGAACTATGCAACTGCGTTTCTTTACCGTCAGTCTCTTGATAATCCTAATTATGATTGAGGGTTTTGGTACTCTGTCAATGAAGGACGACAATGACGAGTACGAACGAGCCATTAGAGGTGGAATTGACTTAGCTTGCACGGCTCGATGCGCCAACTGGTGGCGTTGTCGTGTACAGTCATTCTTTCTCAAACGTTGTAGCAAGCCAAATGGTTGCGACTGCTCACAATTCGCTTGGGAAGGCTAGGTCTAAGCATTGAAACGGACTTTTTCCTTCAAAATATATTTATGCTTGAATTATAATTATAATAACTTCACTTTGCGTTAAATAAACTCATTTAACATTTAAAGTTTTCACATAAAAAGCACTATCTGAGATAAGAATATAATATGCCTCAAATATTCACGAGTTTGCGTTTATTTTTTTTTCAAAATTTTGAAATAAGAATTCATCTACGCACTAATTTTTCTTAACTATATGAACATACACCCACACTGTTTTCAATTCGTCGAGTAGTAGATAATTGAATCATCTTCCCATGTAATACCGTAATTGTAGGACACAAAAATAGACACAACAAGAGTGAGTATGAGAAATCATGACGAATATGGCATAAAATTATCCTTTACTTTCATATTACTCTGATAGTCAAGAAAGATGAAGAACAAATTCTAGTATTTGTTTTGCATTGAGAACGAATGATTCACAGAACACATAGATAATAATCAATGGCTTGAAAATTAGATTGTTGTATTCTTGTAATCAAAACTGTCTTGTCATATTATCTTGATGACAGTCAACTCTCTAAAATAAAAAGCTCCGCTAATCATAAAGTATGACCAGTGTTGTCACTCCTTCGACAATTTTTTTAATGATCAATTCACAAATAGTTTCATATAGATAGTGCGTATTGAATGAAATAAATTTCCTAGAGTACTGATCTTCAAGTGAATGATAATCAGCGAACACTTATTCTAATGATTATGTGCACTTCGATGATAGTTCATGTATGCATTCGTTATAGGTCATTTGTACCATGCATAGAAATTCACTAATGATATGGTGGTGAAACCGAAAATATTGCAGATGTGTATTGTTAAAGAAGAGACCGTATTGGTTGAAAGTGCTTTTCTTATTAGAAATTGTTTCCATTAAGTTTCTTCATTAACGATTTCATAGATAAACTTAATATTTCGCTAGAATAATAGAGAATTTTTATTTTATCTCTACTTATAGAATGATCTAAATGCAGTTCTTATACCAACAGAAAATAAATAAAGTTTCTTTTTTCTCTCTGATCAAAATATCGTCACTAGATTGCCATCGACTTTCAGCGTAATGAATGCTACTTTCACAGGTTTTTTTTTCTTTCATTTAGTTACTAGCGTGTATCGTGTCGAATATTCATTTTTATCATCTATTATTTTTCTCTTGCATCAAATCAACGATTCTTGGTGTCATTTTATTAGTGATTCTTATTCTAAAGAATACTAGACAACCTTCTGTAGCTGCCAATGATGTCCAAGAACCTGCATTAGCATGTAATCGATTAACATTTGCTGCATAGGGATCACCATGAATAAGCACGAAAAGAAACAAATTTATTGATTCGAATTTTCCAGATGAATAATGTAAAATTCCTTCAATCGTACGATCATCTTCATCGTTTGTCTATTGATAAGTTTTTATTTGAGATAAATCTCGTTTGTTATTACTTTAGCACGTGTAAGTCGATTTATGTTGTCAATGACATAAACTTCTTTAGGTTGTTCGCAAAATGAATAAACAAATGCAAACAAACTTTTTCCATGGAATGATGATAAACTAGATTCATATGTTCCGTTCCATCCACAATGCAAAACTGTATATTTTTTCGAAGATTGTTGTGTATAGATTTGAACATTGGTTCCTAATTGTCCAAGTATGTAGACTCCTTGTTAGATCTAACGAATATAATCTTTCTTGAGTAATGACATTTGCATTGCTAGTCAAACCTCGACCTGATGTACGAAATAGAACCTGTAGACAATTTTAAATCTGTTTTGAATGCTTCATTCGTTGTTAATTTTGATAATGATGATATATTGCAAAGATTGATGAAATATATTTCATAGTCATTCATATTTTCATAGATTTGTTTAGCTGATGTGAAGATAAGTTTTTGTTCGAATGATGAAAATAATAATTCACCAATTTGAAATGGAACATTTTTGATAATATTTATATTTATAGGTATTAGTCGATTTAATCAGTCGAATAGCATGCTAAATTATATTCCATTGGATATAGAATTATTTTGTGTAAACTGAAGAAATTATGTCAGATGGTTTAGAGCATTATTTTTATTTACTCCTATTATGTAGTAATATCAAGAGATGAAAGAGAATGTTACTCAAATTAAGTAGCTCTTATCTTCTTTGTACCATCTCATTTTGATTGTTTATTGAAAACTACACTTATTTGTGATTGGCAGAATCAAATGTGTTATAATTGTATTTGCTGAACAGGACTGCTCAAACATAAATTCATTTACTCAACAAGAACAGCTAACTTCTATCTTGAAAAGAATGCATCTATGCAGTCTGTTATTTTCGAATTGAATATAACCATCGATACCACAATTATAACTTAAACTGAAATTTATTGTGAAACAAGATGTTTCAGGAAATGTTATTTATAAATTTTCTTTTAACAATTCATAATGCAATTGGCAAGGTATTCCATCAGCAGCTCAAGTGCTCATACTGGAAAAAAAGGAAAGATTAATATCTATCTGAAGCCAATACATACTCTTATTTTGTTAACCGTAGATATTTATGTCCAATACATTTTATAATCCTGTCCTCAAAATATGTCAAATGCACCTGTATGTATATATGACACCTTTCAAATAGATTAAAGAATAGTAGATGTATTCATCGATCTAGTAAAATTTTTCTTTCTTATTATTTGATTTTCTATGTTGTATTGTTATTATGTTCTCTCGACAAAAAAAAAACATGTCATTAATCCTAAAAATTCAAAAGTTTTTAGCAAACAATCATACAATACGATGAAAATTCAATTACTAGATGTACATTCATATAATACTTGAACACGTAATCTTTCAAAAAATACTCGTTTCTCAAGCGACAATATAACATTAAGATCCTCATGTTATGTATGATAAAGGAATAAAAACATTAAGAAAGCAGAAAATATTACTGGTGGTT